ATATATATATATATATATATATTAAAACATTTGTTTCTATTATTATTTTTTATTTATTTATTCATGTATAATGCGCGTGCTTTCAGTTAAGACATGTGCGGAGATCGTGCCCAACGCCAACGAGGTGTGTGACGAATGCGTCGCCGGCGTCGATCCAGAGTTCGGCACGATACTGACGTTTACGTGTAACACGGGCTACTTCCACAGCACCTTCGGCAGCCAGTCGTCAAGTCACACCTGCATGGACAACCGCGATTGGGGCCCGTTGTACGAACACTGCGTGCGTAAGTATGTGTGTGTGTGTGTGTGTGTGTGTGTGTGTGTGTGTGTGTGTTGTTTACGTGTGTCGTTGTGTGTGTGTGTGTGTGTGTGTGTNCCTCCGTTTCATACATTTTCCATACCAGCCACACGCCAATAAGTCATACAGAAATATATAATGAGCCATGCTAGAAAGTCCTCGCGTACTCAGTATAATTTCTGTCTCTATATCAAAACATAAAAGAATGCCTTATGTAATTGAAATCTCTCCATAAGTTTATTAATTCTATGATTTAGTGTCAGTCATCGATGCGTGATATCAGGTGATTATCCACATGAAAGTCATAAAGCAGTCTGTGACACGGTCAACACACAACCAAACGTTCTTAACATTTTTTTACACATCATCATTCGTGTGGTCAGTACAGAGTCTATTGTTGGCATCTCTGTGCAGTAGATGGATTGCAGTTGCTGGGAAGCGCATGACCAAGCGTTATCATAGCGCACTGCATGGGCGACATCCGAGCAACGTTGACAGACATGAAAGTCTGGGGGCAGGGCTTGGATACTGGGCTCATCAGTAGTGCCACTAGCTTGCACATACTCCACAGCTATGTCCTGCTTGAGTAACTCGAGCCTGCAGTGGTACATCTCTGCGCGCAGATAACTTCTGAGCTTATAGCCAGCCAGCGAATGAGGATCACAGCATGTCCAGCAGGTGGAAAATGATACGTTTATACCATTTCCTAGTTTTCATAGTATTGCGATAGAGCGAAAGGAGCATGTCACATTTGTCGACACCTCCCATGTTCTTATTGTATGATGTAATCAGGGATGGACAGTCGACCTCAATATGCTCTTTCGTTTTTCTGTCGTACCGTTTCACTTTTACTGTTGGCAGTACGCCATGCACATTAGATGCAACAGTTACAGTTTTGTTATCATACCATTCACAAAGTAGAATTCCATGATCCCCACGTCCCACGTCCTTTCTTCTTCAATTCTTTTTCAGACAACAAGGGACAACCATTGGTGCGGTTCTTTCTCATAGTGCAGGTAGCATATATCTCTTTCTTTTTGAGCTCAGCTAATAGGGCAGGTGAGGCAAAATAATTGTCAAAGAAGCAATAACATTTCGGAGGTACTCCTTCCAAAAGCTGTAAGACAACTTCACCTGATGCTCCTATGCCATCAGCAGTAAGATCTGTACCAGTGGGCTCCACTGTATTATCTCCATAAAACTGTAACTTGTGTGCATACCCAGACTGCCCAGCAAGTACCCAGACTTTGTATCCCCATTTCTTAGGCTTGTTCTTCATGTATATTTTGAGGGAATGTCGTCCTTTGAAAGGTATGATTTGTTCATCCACTGATAAACATGTTTCCATTTCTGCGCACTGAGTAATGTTTTCATTCAGTTGAGTAATCAAGTCACGTACTTTGTACAGTCTATCATAACCATCGGCTCCTCTCTCTTTCTGCAGTGCATTGTCACATGAATGTAAAAGGGAGAATATTTCATCAAACCTATTCACAGTCATAGCATCAGCCACTACCGTTTGACGTGTCTTAGCTGACCAGTACATTCGACGGAATGGTATGTCCACTACTGTCATGTAGAAAAGCACTCCGATGAATTTCCTAATTTCAGTCATTGTTATTGTTTTTACTCGTGCTCTAGTTTCTAGCCGCAATCTGTTTGTCTCCAATACTAAAAACTCAAGCATCATTGTATCAAAGTGGGCCAAAAACATTTCCAATGGAGTTGTAGCTTTGCTTGCTGGGCCTTTTGGTGTAAGATGGTTAGATGGATTTACATGTACTGGCAAGTCTTTCTTCACCCAATGCCAAGTAGGTCTGGTTGCTTTCTTTGCCCTGAAAACATATAGGATATGACCTGCTAAGACATGATATAATACGATAATGGAGGTAGGTATTACAGGTAAGTATGTATATTACGATAATAGAGGTAGGTATTATACAGGTAAGTATGTATATTACAATAATGTAGGTATGTATTATACAGGTTTAGTATGTATATTATGAAATTGAGGTAGGTAGGTAGGATAGATTGGCGTTTGGTGTGTTACCTCTTAGCGGCTTTTGGTTTCGGTTCCACTTCTACCTCTGGTTCATCCTCTCCCTCTGATTCTTCCTCTCCCTCTGATTCTTCCTCTCCCTCTGATTCTTCCTCTCCCTCTGATTCTTCCTCTCCCTCTGATTCTTCCTCTCCCTCTGATTCTTCCT